AAGACACTAGAAAACATGTGTGATGTGCCTGATGTTAAACAGTAAGAGTGGAACGAAGCTTTGAACACAAGCACTCTGACTGTTCTCTCTGCTTTATTTGATACACTATGCTGCCTTCATACAGTCACCTTATCTGTTTTTCTAACCTTGCCCACATGGCTGCAAATAGTATCTTCATTCAGATCTCTTTATTTAAATCAAATTAATAAATGTTGTTTTCTGCCAGAGCCTGAATAATACATTTCAACAGGAGTGGCTCTCTGAAACCCAAGTAGCCAAAGAATACTCCCAGTATGATATAATTTTTAGAAATTTAAAAACACAAAATTAAATAATTCATTCTGTAAGGTCATATGGGGTAAAATTACAATGAAAATGCAGGCAATGGTGGGGATTAGGAGATGGCCCAATAGGAACAGCTCCGGAGTGCAGTTCCTAGCAAGAACAACACAGAGGGTGAGTGCTCACCGCATTTCCAAACAAGTTTTCACTGTCCACAGACCAGGAGATTCTCGGGCCATGCGTTTTCAGCATGGCTGGTGCTATGGGTAGGCGCACAGAAACTCACACAAATCTGGGCTGCCATTTCAACTGGTGCCTGGAACGCCTGGGAGACAGAACCACCAATTCAACTACAAAAAAATAAAATAAAATAAAGCAAAGAGACAGAGTCTCTACGGATAATGTATAATGTTTCAAACACAGGTAAATGAACAATTATAACTTAGATGACAGAACGAATAAGAAAGGCAAGCATAAATTAAATCGTAAAGACAAAGCTATTCATTTTTGTGTATTTATTTGGAACCATTCACTTTACTACACAGGCTTTTTTCCCTAGTGGTTTTTCAGCCCATTTTCTTGAGAGAATATAAAATCACTTGCAAATAATGTGTGTCATAAGTTGAGGTGTAGCGGGTCAAAGTAAGACAAAAATCGAGATGTTTATGGGTTGTCCCCAAAGGGGAGGGTCAGAATCACTCACCTAACAAGCGTCTATTGATGCTTGTTGCACACGGGGCCCTGTGATAAGCACTGAAGATAAAGTGACTGGCAAAGATGACAGTCTCAGGCCTCAAAGCACTTACCTTCAAATGGTGGAGTGAGACATTAGTTAAATAATTACATCCCAATGCACAAATGTATGGAGAAGTACACTTGGCTAAGATAGCGTGTGATTGATTGCAAGGGTACCTAAGCAGGGAAGACAAGGAAGGCTTTCCTGTAGCAGGGACACGGGACCTGAGGTCCTGTGAAGGTGTAGAAAGAGGGAGATGGTGGAGCAGGACCAGGGGAAGGGACAGTGCATGGGATGAGGGGTGCTCGAAGTCAGGCTGGAGACGTGGACGGGATTCTGCGCCACTTGACGTGAGCATCAAGAGTGAAAAGCCCCTGCCTAGAACAGTGTAGGGCACAATCAGGCACTCCATGGATAGTCATCAGGTAAGCGAAGAGCCACACAGAACTCTGCACCCTTGACTCATGAGGGTTTTTTCTTTATTCCAATAGAAATTGGGAAAGGGAGGTGATAGGATCAAATTTGCTTTTCCCAAAGACTACCTTTGCGCAATGTGAAGAATAAGTTGGAAACAGGCCTGAGAGCACAGATATTGAGTCTTCCAGAGGCTCCACCCGAGTCCAGATAAGTGACAAAGTGGCAGCATTGTAGTGGAGGCATAGTGAAGAGAAGCAGACAGATGCAAAGACACGCAGAAGATCAAGTGGGCAGAACTGAAGGGTGAATTTGTACTATCCATCAATCATAAAACCCAGGAGGAAGGACTTTTTTCAGCACTGCAAGTACCCAATATCTTCTTAGCACAATAAAGGTTAACTTTTAAAAGCAGGAAAAGAAAGAGAAAAAAATAAATCAAGATAGTATGAAATGGTAATTCACAGAGAAATGCTCGGTGGCCTTACAAGTCTTGCTGAGGCAGAACTCCTTCTAGACTCCTTAAATTATACTGAGCAAGCACCTTCAATAGTTAGCTCATTACTCACCAAAATTTGTGACATTGTCTTGTCAAGACTTGACATTGTCTTCTCCCTTTACCACATAACAAATAATCAGAAGATGAAAATTTCCCCACTTGGATGAGCATTCCAAGTCAATGGCATCCTTTACTCATTCTGACCTATAGACTGTCTAATCCAATAGATGGCTCCCTCAAGAGTGAAAGCACGTTTATGTCTAAGGGACAAGACTAGCGGTCTAAAATCCGGAAAAAGGAGCCCTTCACTTGAAACATCAGATAATACAAATCTGGCTCATTAGTGGACAAACAGACATACCAAGCAAAAGGGTGCACATCCCTGGTTTTTCACATTTTATTTCCAGTGCAATCAAAGTACATAAGCTTTGGTACTAATCTAATAACTTTCACCTGGGGGCTGACAATATATCTCACTGTGTTTCAAATAAATAGCTGGCATAGTCCACAGGCTGTCACATCTTGCTGCTGAGCAAACAGGGTTATGATTGTATTCAGAAAAATAAAATAGCACCCAAGGAGTAAGTTCGGTGGCAGAGGCGCCTACAAGTGCAAATCTGTTAAAAAGCTTCAGGAAACACGAATCCACAGTTATGATTTTATTGAGTTGGCTATTTTGGGGGATTAGAGTTAAAAGCTTTATACCTCCAGGATTTCAAGCTTAAATAAACTGAAATCCCAAATAACCTTTTAAAAAAATCCGAAACAGACTGTGTTGTCCTAATATTCAAAGCTATTTATCTGAGAAAGCAATTATCACTGTGCTTCATGCAAACATGGGACTCTTTATTAATAACCAAATAGTTTCTCAAGAGATGTAAAAACTTAGAAAGCAGAATTCAATTGAGAATTATTCAGAAAAGTTGATAATCCTAATTAACTATAGCCCAATGCATGTGAGCTCACACATGGAACTCTCATGAGTTTTTATCTTGAAACAAACAAGGTGAGTAGGTCACATCTGCACCTTTTGACTAGCAAATGTTTAGATATAAACCATCATACAGCCCTAGTGCCCAATCCTACCAATAATCCAATTGCCTTTCTCTGGGATAGCTCATCAATATTTCTAAAGCTAAGACTACTTTCAGTTTTTATCTAAGCCAATCAAGTTATAAAATATTTTCTCCCATGACCATAAGACAATAAACAAGAAAAAATGTCTAAAAGCTTTGCAATTTTCTGTTGGTCTGGTCAGCTCAGAAAACTGATAACTTTTTTCTGTTTTGGTCTGGTTGTTTGGTTTTCTTTGGCATCTTTAATTTTTTCCTGTCTCTAACATAGGCTGTAATTCACAAGCACTGAATTATTCTCTACCTTTTGGAGCTTTTTTTTCTCTAGCACACAGTGAATATCCATATATAATTAATTAAGGATTCCATAAATTACAATTGCATGATAGTTTTTGATATAATTGTTTTATTTATTTTTTCTTTCTTCGGAACCCTAATAAATACAAATGATTAGCAAATATTTAGAGGAGAAGAAAACAGAAAATCATGTAAAACCGATATAATGAGGTCTAATTAATTCACACTAATTATTAAGGGAAAGGCACAGTTTGAATGAGCAGAAAACATGAATTATGAAATATTTTCAAATATATATACTATTAGTTTTTCAATTACATGTTGTATTATTTTAAATCTGGCAACAAAATAGTGTCTCTCCAACATTTCTGAGGATGACAGGATGTTTTGTAAAATTGACTCACGTAGGAGCTCCATAGGCTTGGAAACTGCCTTTCTTGAGTTATGTTAGATATGACCACGATTACTACCTGGACCTTTTCCACTTCTGTGGCTGGACAGATTCTGCATATCAGTCCGGTCTTTGTGTTTTGTAAATAAAGCAAATGACTTTACACATTAATACTAACTTTTGTTCTTTAACCATTCGTAGAAGAGAAAATAAAATGAAAGACAAAAAACAAAAGACTTTTAGCTTATCAGCCCAACAAAAGCAGAGGGGCTCGATCTGGCCTGTGAGACACAGTTTCCCAATAGATATCAACCTTTATATATACATTTGTATATGATTCTACCACAGTAGAAACAAAAGACAAGAAAAACACAAAACAAAAAACAACGCTGAAGAACTGAAGCAATGTGAAAGATGATATTTAATGGCTAAATGTAAGTGTACAACTCAGAGCTGCTAAATTTTATTGAACGTATGTCGATATTATTCCTGTATTTGGCTATGTTTTGTATGAAGAAGGTAAACACTTTTTAAGCAGCAGTTGTAATTTTACCAAACTATTTTAATCCCTTAGAAACATTCCTATGCAGTATTTTTCTGATCTACCTAGTATTTTTAAAGCCAAATAAATTTCCTATTTTATACTTCATCCTGTAAAACTCAAATGAAACTCACTTTGATGGGGAACGTATTCATGTATTTTCACTCTGCTCTCCTCTGGAGCCATGACTCAGATCTTGAGTTTCGGCAGAACCAGTTGGGAAATGGCACAGCTCTACCCCAAGAGGAGACGCTCAGGACTTTCCAGTGGCAGCATCACACATACACGTGTCTGGTCTGTTTTACTGAGCCTTGCTTTACAGGAACAATGAGTAAGTCTCTCCCCAGTACGAGTCTCTAGAATTTATAATCACACATAGAAGCGATTTCACAGAAATAATTAGTGTGTGGCATATGCCGTAGAGTTGCATAAGCTACAGATTAAAACTGTCTTTGATGGTTTTTCACTTGAATAGCTCTACTCCCTACACACACACACACACACACACACACACACACACACCCCACATGCCACACATACATGTTGTAAAAATGAAAAAGTTAGGCCAGGTATGGTAGCTCATGCCTGTAATCCCAGCACTTTGGGAAATCGAGGTGAGCAGATCACTTGAGGTCAGGAGTTCAAGACCAGCCTGATCAACATACCAGCATGGTGGAACCCTGTCTCTACTAAAAATACAAAAATTAGCTGGATGTGTTTGCTTGAATCCAAGAGGTGGAGGTGCAATGAGCCGAGATTATGCCACTGCACTCGAGCCTGGGAAACAGAGCGAGACTCTGTCTCAAAAAAAAAAATTAGAAAGTTAGGATGCTTGGAAATTAAGTGACTTGGCAAAGGTTATAAAATTAACAAGTGGCAGGGACTGGGGGAACTTGAGCGTAGTACTTTCCTCATCTGTCATGAGGACCAATTCTGAGCTTGAGGAGTCACTGGTGTTCATCCTCTAGATTGCGATAATGAACTTTAATTCTCTTCATGACATTCATAGAAATCTTGCTTTCTGATGCACCTTTGAGAAGACACCTGCAGTTGGAAGGTGCAAATCAATTTACTAAACCTTTAGCCAAGTTTCTCTACTTCTTCCTGCATCACTGAAAAAAAAAAGCACTTTAGAGAGTTATAGTCACCCAGATGCGCTGGTATATCTTAATTTTCAGCTACAGCTAGACAAAATATCTAGGCTTCTAATTTCATTTGTCCCCTGAATGTTTGCTCACCTGGTTATTAGAAGAAACAGATTAGACTTTAAATCAGGTAGTTGAGTAGAACCACTGAATGTAATGCTGCTAGTCTGTTATTACATCAAAGAAAAGAAATTGAGCAGACTTTGACTGGGCAAATTAATATATTCCAACAAAACTGAGTGCAACATTGAACATTCATGGGCCTATTATCTACAATAGAAACCAAAGGTGTTTTTGTTTCCAATATTTGTGGTATTAAAAATATCTTGATTATAAAAAATAACACTAGATAAAAAACAGGAAGAAGCTTCCTTCCATTGACCTCCGTATAGGTTTAATTATCAGTAATGTAATTGGTCATTTGAAGAAGCCAAAATGTATAATGTGCATTCATTTTTAAAGTCACCTAATGAGATAATTCTATTCAATAAGGAGATCGTTCTATGTCCCTGGGGTATCTGATAGGCTAAAGCAAAATATTAACTGCACAGTGAAGCTGAACTGAATTCAATTCTAATATCTACCTTTTATGGTCTGTTTGAGCATGGACAAGTTACTAAAAATCAGTTTGGCTCAGTTTTCTTGTCTGGGAAGAGAATAATAAACCTAGTTAAGATACATGTTGTGAGGGCTAGAGATATTAAATTTAATACAATTGGACAATTAAGAAGCTCTCCAACAATGATAGCCAAATTTATTCAATAATTACTATGTGCCAGATGCTAAAAGCTCATTTAATTCTTATTGAATTTAACTCACTCAATTCTCACAACGATTCTACAAATTTAGATACAATCATCATTCACATTTATAAATGATGCTGTAAGTATTGAATCTGAAGGGCGGGGACTAGCACTTATTCAACTTAGTAGAGCGAGTGAAGTGTGAAGTCAGGGAGTAACTTCAGCGGTCTGACACCTCTGTCCTCCTTGTACCACCAGTGAGACTGAGTACCGAGAAGTAAGATCCTCTGAAAAGATCAGTGAAATTAAAAGATTCATTTATGAGGCACTTTCAGGAATCTCCAGAACTACCCAGAAGCAGGAATAGCCAACTGCCTCCCACGATACCATTTCCCATGCAACTGTCTACTATGATGCTGCCCGCCCTAAAACACAGGGCAGCACATTATCCTGACATTTGACCTTGTTCGTAAAGGGCACCCAGGTCATCAGGTTTGCACCACACAAAAAAGAGAGACACTGGAAAAAATATCTCCTGCTAATCCCATTAATTTCTGCCCTGGACAATTCTTGTAACACAGAGTAAGAAAGACTGACTTTATAGCCCAGCAATTTTACAGTGTACAGCTGATCACCAAGATAAATTTTTTATGCAACAGGAATTGCTTTCCTTTATTTTTTTTTCCTTTTGGTGAAGTTAATTTTCAAAAGCAGATATAAAGGCTAAAATCAACAAATCAATGAAGTAAATAATGGAGAGACTGGGTCACGTAGCTTTGAGTGAAATATTGTCAAGAAAGGAGATAAAGAAGATAATTTATGAGTTCGGGATTATTTAAGCTGAGGAAATATGTGCTTTCTAAAATAAAATTAAGTAAAGAAAGGAGACCAGAGAAAAGGAGAGAATAAGGAAAAGATTAGAAAAAATAAGAGGAGAAGTAGGAAAATACAGGGAAAAGAGTCCTGAGAAAATCAGAGAAGAAAAACAAAAGAAAGAAAAGAATGAGTTCTACCAGGATACAAACAGCAGCTTTTAAGTTAAATACCTTGGTTCTGAAATTCCTGGGAGGAGAGGACAACTCTGGCTGCTGTGGTTCATACATTCTTTTAACACCCTGAGCATCTATTTTTTTTTAATGGATTTCTAAAGTTAAGAAACAATTGTTCAGCAACACTTAATGGTAAGAAACACCAAATGCTTTTATATTTGCAATTCTTTTCCAATTCATCAGAGTATTCACCTTTGTGTCATTGTGTCATTCTGAGGTTCCACTCTCTCACCTCACCCCTATATTTTCCTCGGTGTTCTCAGCCTCAGTAAAGAAAGCCTCAGTAAGTCAAGCCTGGTTTTTATTTTCATTACTATCGTTATTTTAACCTTTTTATTGGATTATGCTCTTTTATGATATTCTTCTTATTTCACTCTTCTTTTCTAGTTCCTGACAATAAAAACTTGTATTATTGATTTGATTCTTTTCTTCTTCTCTAGTAGAATAATATAATGCTATAGTTGTTTCTCCATGCATTTCTTTAGCTGAATTTTGGTTCAGCTTTTTTTTAATGGAGTTCTTGATTCTTTATTTTGAGGATTAGGCCAGGTAGAGCCCCAGCATTGGAGGGTTGTAACTTTTCTATCTATTAAGAAATTTAGAAAATGTCATTTACAGCTAGTGCTCGACTTACGACCACGATTAGTTCCGACAGACCGGTCATACCACAATTTGGTCGTAAGTTGAGTAGGCTATATGCACGCGGAGATGGTAGTGCTGCCGGAAGCTGGTCCGCACCGTCGTACACCCAGCTGGGCAACGTTTGCGCTGCCAGACGCGGAGGAGTTGTGGCTAGCGATTGTGTTCGTAAAGTCAAATTGTCAAGTTGCATAGGTCGTAAGTCAATCAATACCTGTATTATATTACCATCAAGGGCAATCCTGTGGCCTATTCTTCCTATTTAGTCCTCACCTGCAGCCATGATGATTTTGTTGTCATTAATGCAAATATGATTATGATGTTCTCAAGTGTTATATTCCTCAAAAACTTTGCATTGGCTGGGAAATGAGAGTGAATTCTTTGGCACAATGCACAGGCGCGCCATCAGCTGGTCCCATTTCTCTCCCCAGACATGTCCTTCCTCTGTCTTTGCCTCTCCCAGCCACACTGAATTCAATTCCTTGAGCATGCCGTGTTCTTTTCTCCAGTGTGTAGATGTAAATGCAACAGTAGACTCTCCATTTCACTTTGCCTTACTCATTTCTACTTATTATTCCAGTGTCAGCTTAATGGTCATTTGGTCAGGGAGGACTTTACTGATAATGTCATTCATTTGTATATTATCCTTTACTTCTTTCTCGTAGTGCCTTTATATATGTGTGATTCCTTAATCAGTTAGTGTTAAGTATATCATACATGTTCTTCCAGCCAGTCAATAAACTACGTAAAAGCAAGAATTACCTCTTTCCTGTTTACCTAAATAACCAAGTAACTGGAGCATGATATATTTCAATAAATATTTCTTTCCAAACTGACTTATAAGAACTACCAGACGTGAGAGAGATACACAAGAATATGACAAAACCAATGAATAAAACATGTCTGGTTTCCCTCAGGAAACTTGTAAATCAGCCCTGGGAACTTCATGGTGAGAGTACATGCCTCCCTGGTTTTGCTGGTTAGAGCACATGCTACTAATAGCAATGAGAATGATCCCCAGGAGGACCAATTCTGTTGTTCAAATTATGTTTCAAAAATAAAAGTGGCAAACGAAGTATAAACAAATAAATGCAACTTGATGTGCAAATTTTCCTTGGCCAAAAAAATAATCTCAACTCTTGCCAGAGAGCTTACAAATATCATGCAATAATCATGAAAAGAACCAAACAAAAAAAAAAACATAATTGGATAATTTTAAAAACAACCACTATGCCAAAGTAAAGTAGCTAACGGTGAGCCATATTCTTTGGTAATTAGCTACTATCTAAAGACAGGTCTCACACAATTACATGGGCCACTGATTTACTATCCAGCCATTGACACATATTAGACTTGGTTGAGTAATTATTAATTAAAAATATGTTAAGTTTAGATCTAAATCACTAGGCTGAAGAATGCCCTTCTAAAGCATTTTGCCTAATAAGCTCCACTTTCCTTGTGAAAGTTAATATGGATAATATTTTTCCTTAACCTCGCAATAGTTTACTATATTGCTATTAAAAGCACCACAATTAATTTACTGCTTTCAAAAACTGAATGATGTCAAATTTAGTTATATGATGTTTGAATGAAATTTAGACATTTTACAAAGTGGCAAAGTATTTTGAATACCAATCAGAGACAAAGTTTGACGATCGATGTGGATATTGATTTAGATGCACAGGTATGTAGGTACATGCAAAATTTTACACAGTATATCAGATCCCAGATCATTTCTAAATAATCAAGTCTTAGAGATTCCAGTAAAAACTTTCAAATTTTATCTTTTTTCCTCAGGCTATGCTCAGCAAAACAAAATATTCTTAGCTGAAAACCTCTTACAAATTTAAAAATTTTACAAATACCTGGAAATAATCAAGAAATAAGATTTCTTATAGTCTATCCAAAGTAAAGAAAATTTTTAAAAAATATGTGAAAAAACAGAGCTTGTTATCTCTATTAACAAATTTTCTAAACTGGAAGTATGCAGTATGATTTTATAACCAGGATCAGCGCTCGATTATCCAATAGCCCAGCTAAGTATGTGTGTAATGTGCCAGCAAAACAATGACAAGTAAAATAAGTTTAATGTTTATATGAGTCATATGTTTTTTAAAAAGCCCATTATGATTGGGGACATCAACACTGAATTCTAAGCAATTGGTAGAACTACTAGACAAGAAATTATCAAAGATACAGAAGAACTGAACGATATCATCAACCAGTAAAATGTGTAAAAGGTAATTGGCATTTACAAAACAGTCCACTCAACAATAACAGAATATACATTCTTTTTAAGCCCCCATAAATCTTTTACCAAGAGAAATTATCCTGGTCATAAAACAAACGCAACAAAGATAAAGGAATTGAAGTCATTTAGTGTATATTTTCTAACTACAGTGTAATCTAACCAAGAGTCAATAACAAAAAGAAAGCAGAAAAATCTTCAAACACTTGGAAATTAAACAACACAATTCTAAACTACTCTCATCAATAAAAAACCTCAAAGGAAATGCAAAAATACACAGAGCTAAATGAAAATAAAAATACAATATATTAAAATCTGCGGAATGCTGTTAAAGCAGTACTGAGAGAGAAACTTATAGTACCAGACACTTACATTAAGGAGTAAAGGTCTCAATTCAAAACCTGCATTCCTATTTCAAGAAACAAGAAAAAGATGAGAAAAATAAACCCAAAGCAAGCAGAAAATAATATAAAAGCCATAAGAGCAAAAATCAAGGAAGTTGGAAATAAATTGTAAATGATATTACAGTTTTAATTTTGGTTTACAGGTGCTCATTTTTAAACAATAGAGAAGACAAAGAAAAACCAATAGCAGATTATTTGAAAAATATCACTAAAATTGAAAGACATCGAGCAAGACCGACAAAAATTAAAACACAAAGCAGAAAAAGACACAAATTATCAATATCAGGAATAAATCAGGAAATGTAACTATGGTCTTCCAGTAATTAAATGAATAGTAAGAGAATCCTACAAACAACTTGACAGTCATAAATCAGGCAAGTTAGAAAATATTAATTAATTCTTTGAAAATTATAATTTACCAAATGCAACCAAATGAATTAAACAATCTTAATAATCTTACAACCATTAAATAAATTGAATTTATGGGCCAGGTGCGGTGGCTCATGACTGTAATACCAGCACTTTGGGAGACCAAGGGGAGCAGATCACGAGGTCAGGAGTTCAAGACCAGCCTGGCCAACATGGTGAAACCCCATCTCTACTAAAAACATACACACACACAAAAAAAATTGCCACGTGTGGTGGCCAGTGCCTGTAATCCCAGCTACTCAGGAAGCTGAGGCAGGAGAATCACTTGAAACTGGAAGACAGAGGTTGCAGTGAGCCGAGATTGAGCCACTGCACTCCAGCCTGGGTGAAAGAGCAAAACTCCATCTCAAAAACAAAAAGAAAAGGAAAAGAAATTGAATTGGTAATGGAAAAGTTCCCAGAAATGAAACCTTCGTGCTAAGTCAGCAATACTGGGGAATTTTTTTCAAATGGTTAAAGAGGAATTGACAATAGTTTCGCGCAATCTCTCCCAGAAGAAGAAACGCATGCCGACTCGCCTTATGAATATTACCAAATTCAGACAAGGTTATTACCAGAAAAGGAAACTACAGACCAACGTCTTTCATGAACATAGATGCAAAAATCCTCAACAAAGCATTAGCCAACTGTATCCAATATTGAATAAACAAAAATATACAGCATAACCAAGTAATCCCAGCACTTTGGGAGGCCGAGATGGGCGGATCACAAGGTCAGGAATTTGAGACCAGCCTGAGCAATGTGGCAAAACCCCATCTCTACTAAATACAAAAAATAGCTGGGTGTGATGGTGGGCACCTGTAATCCCAGCCACTCAGGATGCTGAGGCAGGAGAATCCTTTAAACCCAGGAGGCTGATGTTGCGGTGGGCCAAGATCATGCCACTGAACTCCAGCCTAAGGAACACAGTGAGACTCTGTCAAAAAAAAAAAAAAAAAACTGTAGAAGATCTATATGAGGAAAACAAAAATGTCCTGATGAAAGAAATCAAAGAAGAGCTAAGTAAATGGAGAGATAAAGATGCCAGCTTTTCACAACTTGATCTATAGATTCAAAACCATCCAAATCGAAATCCCACAGTATCTTGTGGATATTGGCAAACTGATTCTAAAGTTTATATGGAGAAGCAAAAGATCAAGAATAGTGAACTAAATATTGAAGAATAACAGTCAGAGGACTGACATTATCTGACTTCAAGACTTACTAGAAAGCTGTGTAGTCAAGATGGTGTGGTATTGGCAAAAGAACAAATAGATCAATGGAACAGAACAGAGAGCCCGGAAATCGACCCACATAAACATAGTCAACAAACATTTGACAAAGGTGCAAAGAAAACAAAATAGAGCAAAGACAGCCTCTTCAACAAGTGGTGCTGGAAATGGAGATTCACATACAACACAAAAAAATTTATTGACACAGACCTTATTCCTTTCACACAAATTAGCTCACAATGGATCATAGGCTTAAATGTGCAATACACAACTATGAAACTCTTCAAACAGAAGAGAAAATTTAAGTGACCTTAAGTGTGGTGATATTTTTAGAGACAAAACAAAGGCAAATCCATGAAAAAAAGTTAACAAACTTGACTTTATTGAGATTAAAATTTTCTGCTCTTCAAAAGACACTGTCCAGAGGATAAAGATACCAGACAAAGACTGGGAGAAAATGTTTACAAGAGACATATCTGGCAAAGGACTATATCCAAAATATATAAAACACTCTTAAATCTCAACAGTACAAAAATGAACAATTCAATTTTAAAAATCGGCAAAATATCTGAACAAACACCTAACCAAAGAAGACACACAGATGGCAAATTTGCATATGAAAAGACACTCCACACCCTGTGTCTTCAGAGGAATGCAAATTACAATGGCAAATCAGATACCATTACACACCCATTAGAATGGCCAAAATCCAGAACACTGAGGACACCAAATGCTGGTGAGGACATGGAGCAAAAGCAATTCTCATAAATACAGTCAATATTCATTGCTGGTGGGAAAGCAAAGTGCTACAGCCACTCTGGGAGACAGTTCAGCAGTGTCTTCCAAAACTAGGCACACTTACCATATAATACAAAAACTGTGCTCCTTGATATTTACACAAAAGAGATGCAAATTCATGTCCACACAAAACCCTGCGGCACATAAATGCTTACAGCAGCTTTGTTCACATTGCCTAAACTTGGAAACAACCAGGATATCCTTTGGTATGTGAATAAATAAATTAAATACATAAATAAACCATAATACACCCTGACAAAGAAATATGATTAAACAATAAAAAGAAATGAGCTATATCAAGTCACAAAATTCATGGAGAAACCCTAAATGCATATTACTCAATGAAAGAAGCCAATCTGAAAAGGCTGTGATTTCAACTATATGACATTCGGGAAAAACCAAAGCTATGGAGACAATAAAAACATCAGTATTGCCAAAGATTGTGGGAGGAGAGGGGTAAATCTGCACAGCATAGAGGAGTTTTATGGCTGGGGAATTATTCTGTATGGTACCGTAATTATGGAGATGTGCCATTCCATTGTACATGTGTCAAATCCATAGCATGTACAGCACCAAGTGTGAACCCTAATGTAACTACGGACTTTAGATGATAACATGTTAATGTTGGTTCCTCAAATGTAGCAAATGTCCCACTTAGGTGTGGAATGTTGATGTTGAGGGAGGCTGGGTACTTACAGTGACTGGAACATATTGGAACTCTGTCCATTCTGCTCAAGTTAGTTATGAACCAAAAACGGCTAAAAAACAAAAGAAAGTCCATTAATAATTTGAAAAGAAGACATCATTACACATTTATCAAAATGCTTAAAATAAAAAATAGTGACAGCACCAAATCCTAAGAAGGATGCAGAGAAACTGAATCATTCATACATTGCAAAATGGTAGCCCCACCCTAGAAACAGTTTGGCAGTTTCTTTATTAAAAAAAAACTAAATGTGCATTTGCCATATACCTTAGCAATTGCATTCCTTGCTTTCCAGGATAAATGGAAATTTATTTTTATATAAAATCCTATACATTAATATTCTTAATAGCTTTATTCACAATAGTGAAAAAAAAAACTGGAACTAATCCAGATGTTTTTCAATTGACAAATGATTAAACCATCTGTGGTAACTTCTTGTCATGGAATATTACTCAGCAACAAAAGGGAACACACCCTGTGGACACAGCACACAACTTGGATGGAGCTCCATAGAGTTATTCTGGATGAAAAAGTCAGTTTCAAAAGGTTACACATAAGCCTGGGCAATGAAGCAAGACCCCATCTCTAATAAAACAAAAAGAAATTAATTAGTTGAGCATGACAGTGCACACCTGTCATCTCAGCTGCTTCAAACACCAAAGCAGGATGTTTGAAGGAGGATTGCTTGAGCCCAGGAGTTCAAGGCTTCAGTAAGCTATGATTGCACCACTGCACTCCAGCCTGGGTAACAGCGAGACCCCAGCTCTATGATTCCATTTATATAACATACCTGAAATAAAAAAATAGAAATGGGGATGAATTAGTGGTTGACAAGGACAGAGGTAGGCGACGTGGTGGCAGGAAGGCAGAGTGTATGTGTCACTTAAATAGCCAAGGGTGGCCTCTATCGGCCCCTAGGCTGTATATTTATCCATGGTAGGCTGAGATCCATTAGCACAACAGCCCATCAGCACCAAATTTAAATTTTTACACACTCAGCAATTTTAAACATCCTTAATAAGCAGATTTTGAGTCATTTAGAGCCTGCCTGCTTTTCATACCCCATGAAACTGCATCCAGCATCTGCTAGTCACAGATAAGATAAGTCCCTGTATTATAAAGATCCCAAGCCACGGTGCCTTTCAAAGCTCTGTGACCTCTGTAGACTCCCCTCTTCGCCTCTGAGGGACATCAGCTAGACACACAGCTCCCTTTGCAATTCCACTCTTTCCCACGGAGTTCCCTTGCCCTCCTTTCCTTCTGAGAACTGACCTTCAAATCCTAATCTCTAGTCAGGCGTTTGCTGTGAGGGAGCTGCCCAATGCACAAACTTGCCTAATAAAGTCATTTGCCTACTAAAGCTTGTGTGCTCTGCTCTCGCGTGGTCATGCCTTTTACGTGATCAGCAAATCCCTGGAACCTCCAACAGTGTGGTCATAAAAAGGCAACGTAAGGGATCATGGTGGTGGATGAACTGTTCTGTATCTTCACTGGTGGTGGATGCACAAGTTCACACGTGTGATGAAATTGCATAGAACTGAATATGTTTATGCAGCGGAGTACAAGGAAAACTGGAGAAACCAAAACAAGATCAATAGACTGTATTAATATCAATCTCCTGGCTGTGATAATGAACTGTGATTTCTCAGGGTATTATCATTAAAGGAAACCACGTAAAGAACATGCAGGGTCTCTCTGTGTTATTCCCACCAATGCATGTGAATTTACAATTATATCGAAAGAAGAATTTAACTGTAACATTTCATCACGAATAAACTTGGGGAGTACTTCCTATAGTTTTGTATTGTTTTAATTTTTGAGGCATATATGTTAGAAACACTACAAATTTTTTTCTGTCTTTTTTTTTTTTTTTTTTTTGAGATGGAGTCTCGCTCTGTTGCTCAGGCTGGAATGCAGTGGCGCGATCTTGGCTTACTGCAACCTCCACCTCCCGTGTTGTAGCAATTCTCCTGCCTCAGCCTCTCGAGTAGCTGGGACTACAGGTGCTCCACTGCCATACCTGGCTAATTTTTTGTAATTTAGTAGAAACGGGTTTTCACTGTGTTGCCCAGGCTGGTCTCAAACTTCTGAGCTCAGACAATCCAGCCACCTCGGACTTCTAAAGTGCTAGGATTACAGGTGAGAGCCACTGCACCAGGCCTTTTTTATTTTTACTCATACTTTAAGCTCTGGGATACATGTGCAGAAAGTACAGGTTTGTTGCATACGTATACATGTACCATGGTGGTTTGCTGCACCTATCAATCCATCATCTACATTAGATATTTCTCATAATGCTATCCCCCCCGGCCCCTCACCCACTGACAGGTCCCTTGTGTGACCTTCCCTGTCTGTGTCCATGTGTTCTCGTTGTTCAACTCCCACTTATGAGGGAGAAACTGTGGTGTTTGGTCTTCTGTTCCTGGGTTAGTTTGCTGAGAATTATGGTTTCCAGCTCATCCATGTTCCTGCAAAAGACATGAACTCATCCTTTTCTATGGCTGCATAGTATTCCATGCTGTATATGTACCACATTTTCTTTATCCAGTCTATCATTGATGGGCATTGGGTTGGTTCCAAGTCTTTGCTATTGTGAACAGTGCAGCAATAAACATACATGTGCATGTGTCGTTACAGAATGATTTGTAATCCTTTGGGTATATACCCAGTAATGGGATTGCTGGGTCAAATGGTATTTCTGGTTCTAGTTCTTTGAGGAATCATCACATTGTCTTCCACAGTGGTTGAACTAATTTACACTCCCATTAACAGTGTAAAAACGTTTCTATTTCTCCACATCCTCTCCAGCATCTGTTGTTTCCTGACTTTTTAATGACTGTCATTCTAACTGGCATGAGATGGTATCTCATCATGGTTTTGATTCGCATTTCTCTAATGACCAGTGATGATGAGCCTTTTTTATATGCTTGTTGGCTGCATAAATATCTTCTTTTGAGAAGTGTCTGTTCATATCCTTTGCCCACTTTTTGATGGTTTTTTTTTTTCTTATAAATTTGTTTACATTCCTTGTAGATTCTGGGTATTAGTCCTTTGTCAAATGGATAGATTGCAAAAACTTTCTCCCATTCTGTAGGTTGCCTGTTCACTCTGATAGTTTATTTTGCTGTGCAGAAGCTCTTTAGTTTAATTAAATCCTATTTGTCAATTTTGGCTTTTGTTGTCATTGCTTTTGGTATTTTATTCCTGAAGTCTTTGCCCATGCCTATGTCCTGAATGGTATTGTCTAGGTTTTCTTCTAGAGTTTTTATGGTTTTAGGTCTTACATTTCAGTCTTTAATCCATCTTGAGTTAATTTTTGTATAAGGTGTAAGAAAGGTGTGTCTAGTTTCAGTTTTCTGCATATGGCTAGTCAGCTTTTCAATATCACTTATTAAATAGGGAATCTTTTCCCCATTGGTTGTTTTTGTCAGGTTTGTCAAAGATCAGATGGTTGTAGGTGTTTGGCATTATTTCTGAGGCCTCTGTTCTGTTCCATTGGTCTACATCTCTATTTTGGTGCCAGTACCATGCTGTTTTGGTTACTGTAGCCTTGTAGTATAGTTTGAAGTCAGGTAGCATGATGCCTCCAGCTTTGCTCTTTTTGCATTGGCTAAATGGGCTCTTTTTTGATTCCATATGAAATTTAAAGTAGTTTTTCCTAATTCTGTGAAGAAAGTCAACGGTAGCTTGATGGGGACAGCATTGAGTCTATAAATGCCTTTGGGCAGTGTGGCCATATTAATTCTTCCTATGCATGAACATGGAATGTTTTTCCATATGTTTCTGTCTTTTCTTATTTCCCTGAGATGGAGTCTCACTCTATTGCCAGGCTGGAGCGCAGTGGTGAGATCATGGCTCACTGCAACCTCCACCTCCCAGGTTCAAGCCATTCTCCTGCCTCAGCCTCTCAAGTAGCTGGGACTACAGGCACATGCCACCACGTCCAACTAATTTTTGTATTTTTAGTAGAGGCAGGGTTTCACCATGTTGGCCAGGATGAACTCAATCTCTTGTCCTCGTAATCCACCAACCTCAGTCTCCCAAAGTGCAGGGATTACAGGTGCATGAGACGTCATGCCCAGCCCACTACAGTTATTTTAAGACCTGGGGCCCTCTGAAGTTCCTAATATAGCTCTAGGTTGTCTAGGCAATGTTCTGGGGAAGCAACACAGACACACTGTGGTATTGTGGAATATATATTATTCTTCAGTCCCACTTTCCTGTGTGCATACAAACCCTAAAATCCTTGGAACCTCTTAAATGATGTCTTTTTGTATGCCAATGATTGACTGATGGCTAGCGATCCCTAGGTCGTAGCTTCAGGATGGGAGCTGGTCACCAGGAAGAATAAGGGCTCATTAGAGGATTGGGACTTCCAGCCCCACTCCCCAAGCCAAAGGAGGGCAGAAGGGCTGAAAGTTGGGTTGATGACCAATGTGCAGTGGTTTAATCAGTCTTGCCTGCTCAATGAAGCTTCCATAAAATCCCAAAAGGTCCGGTCTGGGACAGCTTCCAGGCAGCTGAACACATGGAGGTTAATGAAAGGCAGCACACCCAGGAAGTCATGGGAGCTCTATGCCCTTCCCCATACCTTGCCCTATGCATCTCTTCATCTGCATCCTTTGTAATAGCCTTCATAACAAACTGGTAACCATAACTGTTTCCCTGAGTTATCAGAGCCACTGTAGCAAATCAATCAAGCCTAAAGAGGGGGTCATGGGGCCCTAACTTGAAGCCCGTCAGAAGATCCAGAGGTCCCGACTTTTGATGGTGCGATGAGGGAGGGGCCGTCGCGGGGGACCCAGCTTTCAAGGTGTGAAGTTACCAGGCAGGTAACTTCAGAACTGAATCAGAGGACTTCCAGCTGGTGTCTGCTGCAGAAACGATGACTTGCTTGGTGTGTGGGAACCACTCCTTCAACATTTGGTCACAGGAGTCTTCTGTGTTTGTTGTTGTGGTCTGAGAGCTGAGAAAAAACAGTTTGAGTTGTTCAAGACACGTACACACACACAGGCAAGCACACACCCACTCACCCCATCCCTGAACTCCAAGGCAGATAATATAGCAGGTTGATTTTTGCCTACTAAGCCTCTTGTGTCCCTCTGAGGCACAGGTTACATTTATAACTTTTTTGCTCTGAGGGGCCTCAAATATTCAGCCACACTTTTTTAACTGTCGTTGTAACCATCTGTTTCCTTAACTTGGTTATTTCTTCTCATACCCCCCATCCCCCTCCCCAGCCCAGCCAAATTCTCTAGAATAAGATGAAGATTCCAAAATTGGCTCTTATCCTACTATTTTCAAAGGAGACCCCTTTGTAGTCCCTCCCATCCCCCACTTCCCAAGCCCAAATCCAGGCAATATTCTCTACATCACCTGCAGCTGGAATGAACTTTGATATGATCACTTATACACTCCTGGTCCCCAAGCCCAGCTCAGGTTCTGGAAGATCACATATTCCAGCAGCAGGATTGGAAACAATTGTTTCCAGGAAGTCAGTATTCCAATCTGATTCCACAAGCCGCATCTTTCAGTGTTCAAACCGTTTCCCCTTACTCACATTTTGTCAGGAGAACAATAAAAACCTGAACAAATTTGTAAAAAAAGATCATTTCCAGTAGGGATAGTTGTTTGAAGGAGAGAGAGGCGGAAAAAAGAACGCATGGGCGACTCTGCACAGCATGTGAGTATGTCTGGGAGTCCTGGGCTATGGCAGCTAGCATTTGAACGCAGGTCTGAAAATTTAGGAGCCAATCAAAGGAAAATGAACAGGGAAAACGCAACAGGGGAAAAAATGAGCAGAGAAAAGGCACAGGTAGATCCCCTTAAGCAAATACACAGGGGTAGGATCTGGACCAGGATGACTGGTAATAATCTAGGAAACTAAAATGTATTCGGTTGGTGCAAACGCAATTGTGGTTTTGCCATTGAAAATAATGGTAAAATCAGCAATTACTTTTCACTAATCGAATAAAAAGCACTCACTCTCTCAGGCTGACCCTGAACTTGCAGGAGCCTCAGAGTGGGCAGCGCCTTGCCCTTCGCACCTGGGCATCCTACTCCTAAGGAGCACTGAGCCCCAGGACTGTGTGAGTGCAGAGCCAGCCCCTGAGAGGAGGCACCTTGGTGCTGTATATTTCGTGTCCTCAGGACCTCATTTTAACCCCAACGATGGGCAAGAACAAGCAGCGGGCTTTGAGGAACAGAAATAAAGCCAATGGGTCTGGAGAATAATCCATTGCTAAAGGATAGGCAGGGGTAAGTTGAGCATGGGTTAATAGACCAGAGAAAAAGTTGCTTTTTATTTGATACGTCATGTGAATTTACTGGAGAGTTTGCATCAGGGGAATGTCATGATCTAGTTAAGACTCTGAAAAGTTTACAGTAACAACCCAACTAAAAACAGATGTGTCACCCAAGGAGATATGCAGATGGCAAATACACCCATGAAAACAAGCTCCAAATCCTATGTCATTAGATAAATACAGACCGAAACAATGAGATCCCACTACACACATATTCAAATGGCCAAAATCTGGAACACAGACAACACTGAATGCTAGTGGATGACGTGGAGCCAGAGCAGCTGTCAGTCATTGCTGATGGGAATGCAAAACGGTGCTTTGGAAGACAGTGTGGTGGTTTTTCACGACACTAAACACGATTATCATATAATTTAATAATTGCATTTTTTGGATATTTATACAAATGACTTGAAAACTTATGTTTGCACAAAACCCTGCAAATAGAAGTTCATAGCAGCTTTATTTATAACTGACAACCTTGCAAGCAACCGAGATCTTCAGGGGGTGAATGGATAGACTGCGGTACATCTAGACAATGGAGTATGATTCAAGGAGGAATGTTCTATCAAGCCACGAAAAGACACGGACGGACCTGAAATGCATATGGCTAAGAAAGTACGCAATTTGAAAAGGCTGCATATGGTGCAATTTCGGTATACGACATTTTGGAAAAGGCAAAATTACAGAGACAGTAAAAAGATCAGTAGTTCCCAGGGGGTAAGGAGTAGAGGGACATAAATTGGCAGAGCACAGAGAATTTTTTAGGGCAACAAAAATACTGGGTAAGATACTAGCAGGGGACACGTCATTATATTCTTGTACGAACACATATTATGTACACCACCAAGAGTGAACCCTAATGTAAACCGTGGACTATGGGTGAAAATGGTGTGTCAAGGTAGGCTCATTAGTGGTAAGAAATGTACCATTCTGGTGGGGGTTGTTGAGAAGAGAGGAGGCTCTGCATGCGCAGGGGGAGGGGTAGGTGGGAAATCTCTGCGCCTTCCTGTTAATTTTGTTGTGAACCTAAAACTACACTTAAAAATAGTCTTCTTTAAAAAAGGTTCACACTAACTGCTCTGAGAATTTAAATGAGGAACTGTAGAAACCAAGGGACCCGTGGGAGGCCACCACTAGAGGCCAGGCAGGAGCCTGGAGGTAGACAGGACTGCAGAACATGGAGAAAAGTGTACAGGTTAGAACAAAAGTTGGTATCTCATGAGAGTGACCGCTTGGTTGAAATTGGTGTTGTTCTAGGAAAAAGTTGCAGGTGGGGAGTAGGGTGGATTACTGTGAAATTGGGGATTGTATTTTTACCACGTGATTTGAGATTCCACCACGGTTCTGTGGGTACTACAAATAGAATATACAGGAAAGCAGGCTAAAAGCAGTGGAAATATCTGTGCGTTCTCTGTAGACATCTCCTTGTGCCATGAGAAAAAATTATCTTGGGTAGAAAAAAATTTCTGCATCAGCCGTGTCATAGGGTTGTATGCTTCAACGTCAATGGGTACTGAAAATTTGCGCTACAAAGAGATTATACTGATCATAATGTCCAAAAACATTACTAATAGCTCTAAAAAGAGTTTGTATCTAACATAGTCTTCCACTGGTATCCTCAAAGAAAGGATTCTGCAGAAAACGCATTGTCCGCAAGCCTCATTTGAGCCATCTTTACTTAGGCGGCAATTCTGGCTTTCTCTCTGCTGCTCCTTTCTGGTGGTTTCCCTATTCTCTTGCCCTCTTCTTCCATTTCTCTCCTACTCAGCATACAACCTGCTTATGCTCCTTCCTATACAGTAGACTGACTGAATTTGAATCTTTTTATTTTCACTTACTTACAGTCAGTGGATCCTTAAGTAACTTACTTAACAGGCCAGGCTTTAGTTTTCTCTCTTGTAAAATGAAGATAATACTAATACTTACATCTGTCTTTAAGAATAAAGAGTCAATGTGGTAGTATATGAGAAGCTTTAACAAAATGACCTGGCACGTATTGTGTGTTGAATAAATCATTTTTAGTTCACAGTAAAATGTGAAGTTAATAGATAACTTCCTTTATCCCTGCCTATAAGCAGTCTGACTCATGCTTACTTTTACTTTCTTACCTCCTGAAGGTGTTGCTCTTCTGATCCAGGTTAATCCTTCTACTTGTAGCTGAATCTCAACCTTCCAGCCTCCTTTGGGCCTCTGCTCCATCAGATATTTTCTCTTTTTCTGCACCTTTATTCTCTCTCAATTAATGTTTCTCCTAGACGCAAAAAATATAAACATTCATTTGGAACTCCCTGTTCTCAATTTCTCACCCTCTCTAGCTCTGTCTTCCACTGCAATAATTTTCTCTTCAGCTGTGTCTAATCTGTTATCTTATGTAGCCACAATTATTTTTAAATTTAAATTATAATTTTTAAATATTATATTTGGTTATTTTTCAAATATATTAACTACATAGGATATTGTTTTTTTCATACTCCTCTATCTGATGTCTTTAATTATGTTAATCATGTTTAGTTTATAGCTTCAAATCACTTTATTATTTGAAGTTCTTGGAGGCATAAGCCTTCTATTTACCATATTTGCTGACGTTTGCTCATGCTATATTATATTTTTAATAACTTCGTATTGTAAGCTCATCTTTAGTAGAATTGTATCTGTGAAATTCTTGGCTGGCCTAACTTGAGGAAGTGAGGTTTACTTTTGGCTTTAGGGTAATAACTGACTTGGGATCATGTTTGTGTTATTCTTTGCTTTGGAATTCAAAGACAGTGACATATAAATTGGGATGCAAAGCTATAGGAGGTCAAGGTAATAGGTACAACTTACCAGGAAAGAATTTTTTCCCACTGCTGCACAGAAGAAGATGAGTGTTTTTTCCTTTTTACCTTGTATCCATGAGAAGATTTTTCACACTTTCGTGTTTCCTTTAATCATCTGGGGGTCCTGACTTTGTGTGAGAGTATTAATTCCTATTAACTCTTTTCAACGTGAGTGGGCCCAAGGCCTTCTCCTCTGCCCTGTATGTCTCCTAGGCCCCAGTGACTAGCCAATCTAGCTGGAGTGGTTGATTTTGTTTTGTTTTTTAAATTCCCTTCCTGCCCCAACTCATGCCTCATGAGAATTTTGTTTATTTTGTGGGGAGCTCACATAAGGGTTTGAATGGATTTAAAATATATACCAAGGGACCAGGCCATCCAAAACACCTCTCGCTAAAATACTTAGAAACTGGATAATATATATATAGGTGTTTTGAATGACCTGGTTCCTTGGTACTCAGAGTGTTGTATTCAGGTTAGCACTACCTCTTGGGTGCTTATTAGAAATGCAGGATCTCAGGCCCCACCCCAGACCTGCTGAATCAGAACGTGCGTGTTAAGAAGACTTTTAGATAATTCAAAGTTCAATAAGACACTGCCAAATAGACACAACGATGCTTTTAAGACTGATCATGACTAGATCCTACAAGGAAGCAATTTCTGCCCATCCCAGGTAGTAAGAAGTTTGGATCTGTAACATGTTCTGTCCGTAAACTCTGCTTGCACTGCCAAAGCGGTGTTCCCCTGCTCTCCCCTTGCCTCAGCCTCTAAGATACAGCACAAGGGCTGCTGTCTCAGGAGGGCCCTCCCTGCTGCTGTGTGAGGTCTCCTCCATGCTGTCCTAGTGTCCTGCACAACTTGTCCATGTCCTACCTCACAGTGTGATCATCCCCTCCCTCCGCAGCCAGCACGGTCTCTGTAAGACATGGACTGCCTTTCCTTTAGCACGGAGCCTGGAACATTGCAGGCATCTGAGCAATATTTGCTAAATGATTTAATGAATGACTGAAGAAATAATCTGTGACTGGTAACATCATAATGGCTATGTCTATCCACTTCTGTCCCACAACGATATCCAAAAAAGACAACTCTGAACGTAATATATCCTCAGTAAATACTTATTTAAAAACTATTTAAATTTTTTTTGTAGAAACAGGGTCTTGTTATGTTGCCCAGGCTGGTCTCAAACTCCTAGCCTCAAGTGATCCTCCCACCTCGACTTCTCTAAGTGCTGGGATTACAGGTATAAGCCACCATGCCCAGCTTAAAACACTATTGTTAATATTTTTTCTTTGGTATATGTTTGAAAAGGTGTGAAATGATGGTGTGTGTGTGTGTGTGTGTCAGTGGGATGGAATAATGCTGTTTCCACGTTACGCTACTTTAATGCGTGTGTATGGGGGTGACTTGGAATCTGCAGGAAGAAAAAAAGGAAAGATGGAAGTTCTTGCCTCACAATATCCCGCCTCTTTTGCATGCAGCTCCAAGAAGACCTTCTATTTCACAAGTCACCTTTCCAGCAATGGGACGAGCCATGGCAAATAATCATTTTTTTTTCTTTTCTTATGTATTTTTTCAACTAGGGCATATTCTAAATCTTCCTAGAAAAACTTTCTAGTATTGCTCTCTAATTTGTGTTATTGGTTTGTGTCAGGATATTGATTTTCATTTTCATTAAAAGTGAAGTAAGGCATTGTTGACTGTGAGCACTCAATTTTTATTAAAGAGTGTTTTGGAATGAGACAATATTCCTGTTTTCCTCCTCTGGGAAAACCAATTCTGTAAGATGTACAGAACCCAGTCCTCACCGTGGATTTGCGTCCTCACGTTCTCCTTGCCCTGCCGCTGTATTTGGCTGTGCTGCTCAGCACCCAAACTCTGTGTGCCAAGGTAAATAAATCACACGTCAGGATATACAACCGCTCTGATTAGTAACCATGCAGCCACCCAATTAGAGAAGCGCCATCCACCAGACGTGGCAGCTTGCATTTGCTTTTCTTTCTTTAATTTCCTTAAGGTCTTTGGCAGTTCAGTCTGGAAAAGTAAAACCCATTTACCCAAAGGACAGTTAGTAATTTTAAACTCCTCTTTCAGATGGTCTCCAGTGAGAAACGATGCTGAGGAGGTGGAGAGGCCAGGAGGGCTCTTCCTCCAGCTGCTGGAAGCAATCTTGGCTAGGAGAAGATGTCTGATCCAACCACAGCACACTGGAAATGTTGGACCATCAGTATCTGCGGAGCAATTCCCCTGAAGGCCCAGCTTCCAACTGCCCCCGCTTTTCATGAACAATTCTCGTCGTCGTTTTTCTGTTTAGGGAGTTCCCTTTGGCAGGGACTGTGATTTACACAACAGAAGGTAATATCACTGGCCGCCAAGCCTGCCTCTTCGAGTCCCCTACCCAGGAAGTACTCAGCTCCCGCTTCTGCTTCATGCCCCAAAGCTGGGAACCCACTGAACCCCCTGCTATGCAAGCCCTTTTATTTGGATTCCGGCGGCTTTATTTTCGTTTCCTTCCCTTCGACGTGCAGGATACTCTTTCTCAAAAGCAGATTAGATGTTCAACCCTCTGACGACATTCAACTAAAACCCCAGGTGATCCCCATTAAAAAGCAGGCAGGCTTTGGGGGAGATGCCAGAGAGGGTGTTGTTGTGAGTTGTTCTTTCTAGAAGCCTAAGCCAGTGTCTGGTCTCTTCTGTGCCTGGTAGAGCCCAGCTGGTTAGCGGGCCTCTGCCAAGCACTGAGAAGTGAGCATGTTACATCCTTATTACATTCAGCGCTCTCTCTCTCTCTCTCTCTCTCTCTCTTTCTTTCCTCTCTCTCCTCTCTCGCTCTCTCTCTCTTTTAATCATGCAATTTGACCGCGTTTGGGGCTGCAAGGCTTGAGTTTCTGCATTCTGTGTCTTCTATCAGCTGCATTCACACTCACATCTGTAGCACCCAACATTGCACCTGGGGCCTCCGGGGTGAGACTGCATCCCTAGGAAGCACTGTTGTGATGAAGCCAAAGGCTTGTGTCTTCAGGAGACATGAACTTCCCAGCCCAGAGTCACCACAGCCAGTAACAGATGGAAAACTCATCTCTTTCCTCTAGGGTTGAACAAAAAAGCAAAAGTCCCAGAAGTTGGGCTGCATTTTCACCCAGCCCGGCCAGAATAGACTGATGTGCTCAAATAGACAGAGGACTCCATGGAAAATGTGTTTCCCAGTCCTTTCTCTCCTAATATGTCTAACAGGAGAGAGATCACACTTCCACCTGCATAGAGGCAAAGAAAGGAAAGGAAAGAAAAAAGATGATATTTTATCTTGTAAGTTCTGCTGCAGCCAAGTTGTTCCCCCTTTAAGAACTTTGGGAAAGCCAGGAAGGTAAGAGTAGAGAAATAGCATTTATTGAGTACCAATTATTTATTTATCAATTATTGGGTGTTTGCCATGTACTACATAGTGTGCTTCATGTATGTTTCACGGATTTAATCGCGATTATATCTAATCTTTAAAATAATTCATGTTTTTGTCTTGGAGCAAGGCTGATTATAATCTCTACATTTACAGATAAGAAAACTGGGTGCACAACCTTCCTGTAGCAGAGGAAAACTCTGAAGCCAGGCATGTTTTGACTCCAGAGTCTATGTAATTCCTGCTCACCCTCGCCCTCTTACAGGGCCATGTGACATGATGTGGAATAATGAAGTTTATTATATCACAGCATTGAAATGACAGTTAAACACTGAAATCATGATGAGGATGTGATTCCAAAGAAAAACTTGGTGTTAGGGTTATGGGCAGTTTACACTTCCACAATTATATACTTTTGGGTATTGATATACACGTAAAACAAAGGAGGGAAAATTGTATTGATGCTGTTTGCTGTGGATCTGCTTCTGGGAGGGTAAGAACTGTTTTAAGTAGCTTTGGTGCTAAGTAAATAAACTAGGGAGAGCCGAGGACACACAACCTCATGCAGAGTAATAAAATCATCTCATCCAAAAGGATGATTAAATCAACACTAACTGTAGGAATATTTCTAAATTCAGGCACATGTAATTATGCAATCTTAATAAATGACTTTACAATCTTTAACTGAGGAAGATATAAAATATTCATTTAAATGACCAAATATTTCATGAGAATGTACTTCATATGGGAAACTATGGCCCTGGAAATACAGAGATTAAAAATACTCTTCTTACTACTAAGGAAATTATAACTTATAAAAGGGTTAACAATGAATTTGCTTTAAGGGGTCTCTAGTAAATGGATCCCAATTTGTCACGAGCACTGTGACCCTTGGCAGATCAAGATGGCATGGCGGAAATGCCGTCAGAGCCAGGGAAATTAGGGCTTGAACACTGACCTCGATCCTTACTAGCATTCAATAAGTGGTGACCATTCTGATGGCTGAAAGTAGATCTGCTTATGTGTCAACTCTTCATTTTCTTTTTTTTGAGACAGAGTCTCACTTTGTCGCCAGGCGCCAGGCTGGAGTGCAATGGCGCAATCTCGGCTCACTGCAACCTCCGTCTCGTGGGTTCAAGCAATTCTCCTGCCTCAGCCTCCCGAGCAGCTGGGACTACAGGCACGCGCTACCACACCCAGCTAATTTTTGTATTTTTAGTAGAGACGGGGTTTCACCATGTTGACCAGGATGGTCTCGATCTCTTGACCGCATGATCTGCCCACCTCAGCCTCCCAAAGTGCTGGGATTACAGGCTTGAGCCACTGCGCCCGGCCCAAGTCTTCATTTTCTTATCTATAAACCGAGAGGTTTGGTTGATAGAAGAAAATCTTGTAACTCTGGTATCTTTGACTCTGTATCTTGAAAAATCAGATGCCACCATAGCAGATATGGGGGGTTGTGTCACGGGCAATCACTAACATCGGGGAAAGAAAAGTAAGTCTAGGCTAATTTTTCTGCCACAGCTACTGTTTCTCCCCAGCATAGAATTCATGTCCCTTTCTCCACCCATTTTACCTCCACTTGGCTATTAACTAGACTTCAACTTGACAGGCTTAAAATTCCATCTTATTTCTTGCCCACCCTAAGCCCAAGTAGCTAATGAGCAGAAAAATGACCAGAAGATGGGAAGGAGGATAAAAAGCAGAGTTCTTCGATGTTAACAAAGGAAGTGACAGCTGAGAGCTGACCGTCACTTGTTGACCTTCTCGGGAGCTTCTTGAATAAATACATGCGGTTTAATTTCTTAACAAGGTTCATACTCAACACCCTCCCCTACCAGGATAGATTTTAAAAAAAAGATAGAACACATGATTTTATGAAAATAGTGTTAGGAATTCAAAATTTGAAGAAAGAAAGATGAAAGATGAAGCATTTAAAAAAACAATCTGGCACTTTGTCCACAAAGACAACAGATAGTAAAGGATTGAGAGCCTTGAAGTCATGAAACTCCTTAGCATGAGCTCAAGCTGCTCTCTACGACAGGCTCCAGTTCTGGGACTCCAGGGTGGCACCAGCAGCACCCCTCAGTGTGTGGTCCCGAGTGGAGCCTCCCTGCAGCTGGTACAGCTCTCAGCAGCTGCCACTCGCCTACGTTGCTCCTCCGCGGTGACATCCACAGGTGGCGGTTCCCAGCTCCCCAGCACCTGTCCTTTCACGAACTGCCACTTGGCCACCCACTGTCTGAAGCTGGGATGCTGCCCTGTGCGACTGTCTCCACATCTGCACCAACTCTGCAGAAGGGGCTCTTTCAGTTAACTTAAGCTTTTAGAATGCTAGCCCTGAAGGGAAGCTGATACTTACTTGGTTTTCATATCCCACACTCACTGTGCTGGCCTCCTCCACCACACACACACACACACACACACACACACACACACACACACGAGAAAGCCAAGGTTCAAGGTCCAGGGACGTAAAGCACCAGGACTCAGAGCTGACTGCTGAACACGTACACCAGCCCTGTCGTGGTCCTTCTGCCATGTGTCTCTCCCAGAGATGAGGATGGTGACATTCAGGACCATGTGGTGCTGCCCAGTCTCACTCCTCACCTTCCCTTCATGGTTATCCGCACACTTGCCATAGGAAGCCTTCCAAGGCAATGTAGTGACAACTTGGTCACTTCACAATGGTCGTGCCTAAACGGGCACTAGGGACAATCACTAAGGAGCAGTGGAAGGATCGGGGACTTGGCAACAGCAGGTGATGTCACTGCCGCTTACTAACCTCATCCCTGTACACAAGTCATGTCAACATCCTCATGCTCCAGGGTTACGCTTGCTAATGTGCGAAAATAATTGGTCCTCAGCGAGTGCATTGGGACTAGGGGTTTAGGCGAAAGCCCCATTTTTCTTCTTATAGATAATCCTGTCCCGAGAAGAAACAAGGAGCTGATGTGAGAACAAGTTCAAGGTACAGTCTTAAGAGTTCTGCAAGTTCAAGTTAGTCCTAAGCTAACTAACTTCTAAAGGGACCCTGACCTTTTAAAAAAGAAAATGTTTTTTAAATCCCAGCATTTTGTCAAATGGGCTGTAGCGCTCATTTGGATTTATATTATTCTTTATAGTTCACAAAGCTTTTTCTTTCATGAATTGACAGTCAGAATTACTAAGCAGTGAATCTGGGTTTGAACAAAAGTCTTCTAACTCTTCTTCTCGTGCCTTTCATCAGTTCATCATTATCTAAAGAGTAGATTCTGCAAGTAGGAAGGGTGTCCATGGACTGTAATGGTTTTGAGAAAATTAAACCAAACAGATCATTACAGGTAAAAGAGGTCTCGTACTATTAACAAGTCAATGCAACATTTTATACAAAGGTCAGTGGAAAGGCATGGAGCTTTCTCCAATTCATGAAGCAATCTAATGCCACATCCTTGGCTGGAATTTGGATATCCAGCTGCCCACACTTCATCTACCCAGGACACACCCACACTCTCCTGTGAGCACACAGATCCGTGATTTAACCAGACATCCCATTTTCTCCACACAGGAGAGCTTTGTCGGCCAACTTACCTTGAGGATCTCATTCCCCTTCTTTCTTTTGCAATAATAAACAAGTGGATTGGCATGTGTTGTAATTCAGACCAAGGAAGAGGGAGCGATGTGGTGAGGGGCTTCTGCATGAAGTTCCCTTTCAAAGACACAAGAAAGAGTCAGCACATTCTTCTGCCTCTTCATGTTGTTGGATGTGGACGTGATGCCTTGAACCGCTGCAGCCAGATTGCAACCCTGAGGAACCAGCCTTAGAATGAACCCAGTTTGGAGGAAATGAACTAATTGCCACCGAAGTATTTAAACGTAACATTTTGTCTAAGCAAAATAACATATTCTTATCATTTTAAAACCACTTTCAGTTGTACTATCAGGCATTGTGCTTAAATAGGAATAATTAATAAAATTTCTGTGTGGGTGATGGATATGTGGATTCCTATAAGAATGTAACTATAATCATCTATTATTTATTCCTCATGACAATCAAGGGCAGAAATTATTATTATGTGTACATTACCAATAAGGAAATGACACAGGCTCGGAGAGGGTGATGATTTGCCCAAGGTCACACAACCTTGTGAATGGCACAGAGATTCCAGTCCCCATACCTGACACAGGGCCCATGCATTCATTTGCTCCCTAATACCACTTAGAGATATGGGGACTTTCTGGACAGCAAGAAATTGTTTCCATTCCAAAGTCTGAGGTACTCGTAGGAATTTAAGAACAGAAGTAAGGGTGAAGACCCAGAGAAGGGCTTTGTGAACCCTCTAAACCAAAGCAAAGCTAATGTATCTATTTACGGAGCAGTTACTCAACAGTGCAATGAGAGACAGATAAGATGATAGTCTACCTTCTAATTCAGAGCACTTTTGAGAGTGAAAAGCATGTCACTATTAATTAAGCCAGGACAACACATCCATCAGCCTGTTTGGGGTTCAAAGAGACATATGGTCAACACAGAAATAGCCAAGAAGCACCTCCCACGTTCCCCTCTGTTAGAAACACCATCCTAAAGAGAAATGCTTATGAAATGCTCAAAAGTGTCCCGTCATTTTCCTGTGTAACTCTATCTATTTCTGTATCCCGTCACAGTACGTTTAATGATGAGCAGTCTGTTCTGAAATTAAGAGAAACAAATCTAGCTAGGAGTTGGAGGGTAACTTGAGGATTAGAAGCAAATCGGTCCAGAGAGGCCTCCAGCTAGACGAGCAGTAATAAGGGTACTTATCATTTTACCAACTGACAGGCAGAGAAGAACAATGTGGGAGAGGGGAAACTGTGCCACGAAAAATTGAAATAAAGGAGAAAACAAAACTGAGAGGAAATACAAAAGAGCTGGTGCTGAAAGAGAGCCGGCATCCAGGGGCGCATTTTACTTGCCCTATTTCACCATAACCCTGGGATACTTTTAATTACTTGGCTCTTTCACAAACAGCGTCTGACTATTTTGTCAGAGGGTCAAGGATAACAGCAGGACCTGCCCTTTCCTTGTGCTTAAAGGGACACCACCCCCATATACTTTCAGGGACACCCAACCTAGAACGGCTCGTCAAGAAGCACACGCGTTTTTCCTGAGCGATCTTTCCCCAAAAAAAGCCTCTCCCGGAGGCTGTGCTTGCTAAGCTGGAGAGAAGAAGTCGGCAGCATCAGACGCTGTCTAATAACCCAGAATGAGATTTTGTCTGAGGTGCGGCCAATGCTTAGCTGATCTCCTGTTTGGTACTCACACTGAGACATGTCCAGATAACGGAATTAGAGGACACAAAAAGAACTACCAGTGAATACAACGTTGACAATGAAAAGGACTGAATTTTGGACATAAAGAAGGCTTGAGTTTTTCTTTTCTTTCTTTCCTCTCAGTTTAGGAAATGTGCGCTTTTTTGAAGCAACATTAATAATGGTTTTCTCATTAACCTATTGGATCAAAACACTCACTTAATAAATTCCAGTCAGATTTAATCTGAGGGTTTATTATACACTACAGTTAATTAAAGCGACGCTTGTGTGAAAATTTGGCCTCTTACTATATAAGAAAAAAAAAAATCATGTCCAGAGTGGGGCTGGAAATGATGAACATTTTCATATTTTATTTTGGTAAGTTTCACAATTCGCTTGTCTCCTTAACTGTAAATCTTTCAAATTACTCAACCCCAATTAAGAAAAATAAAAAGCAAATCAAGAGTCAGTATTCATAGAGGAATGCTGTTGGCTAAGGCCCCAGATATTTTTTGTATCTCTGGTGAATTGCTTGTAAAATTTCCAGGAAGTTTGGGAAAACTTTGCATTGACATCACTCAGAAAAACTTGAAAAAGATTTACCAGGGGAGACTGGAGGTCAAGCTGACTGTCTGGGGTGCTGATCCTGTGATATTTGTAGACTCACTTAATGCTGATGAATTTTGCAGAAATTTCCTTTTTCCCCTTCCTCCTTGCAGTTGTGGCCATTCTACTGTAGAATATTTTAATAATTCAACCACATTTTATTTTATCTTAGCTCTGGGCTTTCTTCCTTCTCAGGGTTTCCTTGTTTATCTTTATTAAAATAAATATTTGTTGAATACTTTTGAGGTATATGAAAAAGCAATAGAACTAAATTTTAAATTTTAAAAAAGTAAAATTTTTAGTTAAAAAAATATAGTCAGCCAACACAGTTAATAGATTCATACATTAAAATACCATAAATTGTTTTATTTCAAGTTACTATGATTTAGGGGATTGCCTATTGATTTTAGTTTAAAAACAGTCACTTCAAAAAACCCTTTTAACTGGATCGGAATTTCCCTTTCCTGTGTCTCCATTTTAATGCATACAGATTAATGTTATATTTCACAGAGAGCCTTTTAGAAATTTATAATAATCTTATAGATTAATGCAAAATGATAAAGTATTAAAATAGTAGATTAAACTCAGAAAAATATAATTTCTGAGAGAAAAAATTCTCCTTTAAAATACTGTTAAAAGTGAATCTCACAGATACATGCTATATTTGCAGGAATATATGTTTAAGAAGAAACATGTGGGGCTGGGCATGATGGTGCATGCCTATGGTCCCAACTACTTGGGAGGCTGAGGTGGGAGGATCACTTGAGCCCAGGAAGTCGAGGCTGCAGTGAGCTGAGATTGCACTACTGCACTCCAGCCTGGGCAACAAAGTAAGACTCTGCCTCAAATAAAAGGAAAGAAAGGGAGAGAGAGGAAGCGAGAGAGAGAGAGAGAAATAGAAAGATAGTGTTCACTGCATTGTATGCTTAGCTGAACAGTGTTTTGGTAAAGTCTTTATTGATATATAAGTTAAATATC